TTTTAAAGTGGGCTGGCGGCCCCGAGAGCCGGACATTTGAGAGCCGTCCACGACACAGCCCCTGCACCCAACACAGCGCTAGCCTGAGGCGGCTGTACAATCCTCGGCAGTGTCCTGAGACTGTATGGTCATCTCCGCGGTCGCGCCCGCCCGGCCTTGGACTCTTCCAACTCCAGTCGTTGCAGCCACTTCTTATTTTTATTTTTATTTTTGAAAACCCAGAAAAGTGACTCCTCTTCGTGGGAAAAAGGAACTAAGGTCCCGCTCTCGCGGCCCTCTTTTTGGGTTTGACAGCCTCCTCCCACTCCTTTCCCCGACCCCGCCTCCCCGTGCAGGTTCCTCCCCGGCACCTCTCTCCACCCTCCTCCCCGCACCTAGCCAGCAGCTCGCGAACTTACACCTGACCGTGCGGGGCGCTCGGGACCTGCGAGCACCTAGGACCTTTAACACCGGCCCGGGCCACAAGGAGTAGGCAAGGGCCACATCGAAGGCGGCGACTGCAATCCCCACCGGCCGGGGAGCTCAGGTGTCACGTTTGAGAGCGCCACGGTGACAATGACAGCTGACAAGGAGAAGAAAAGGTAAGCGGGCGTCTGAGCCGTCCAGGAAGCTGGTCTGAGGGGGATGGCCACGCCGCACGGGGTCAGAGCGACCGAGAGCGGCTAGAAGAGGAGTCCGCAGGGGTCTTTGAGGCCCGAGGGTCGGTGTGGAGCGCTTCGAGGGGGGAGAGCAGGTGCCCCGTCTGTGGACGCGGCGCTTCGGCTTCGCAGTGGAGGGTTCTGTGGCCCGAAGAAGTCGCGAATCTGCGCGCGCGATGAGGCCAGGAGGCCCAGGGAGATGGCCCTGGAGGTCGGAGGGGCTGTGGCGCGCGGAACCTTCCCAGATAGCCGCCGCTCCAGCCCCCCGCTCCAAATTTATGAGGCCCACATGTTGAAATGTTTCTGGGTTGACTTGACCCAGGTCAACTTTGGACTTTCTCAGCTTTCGCATGTGGGGCACTATCCACTAGTCTCTTTTCCTTGGGACCCCACGGGTCCTTCCAAATGAGCTACTGTGCTCGCACTGCGCCCCAATCTGGCCCGGGCCCGGAGGCGGAGCGCCGCGCTGGGACGCGCCTCCGCGGAGGGGCCGGAACGCAGCAAAGGGCCCGACTCCGGGTTTGCAGATCCCACTGAAGCTTGGAGAAGCCCCCTTCCTGATCCCGCACCTTGACTCGGGAGGAGAGTTGTGTGGTGGGCAGGGTTGCCTCGCGAGGGCAGATGCGTTGGTGTGCCGGGAGGGAATGGAGACACAGGGTGCCCCCGGCAGGTCCCAGTGTCTCTCAAGAGGACAGAGAAGGGCAGCCACGATCCGCCCGTCTGCCCTCGCGAGCCTCTCGGCACTGGGTGAGAGGCAACTCCGGCCAACTCTCACTGCCTTCCCGCCCCCGCCCGGCTTCTCCCCGCCCGGCTTCTCCCCGCCCGATCCTCTCCCAGCGCGGGTGTGAACGCACCGTGCGGCCACGCAAGCGTGGGTTCGGCCTCGCCTCCTGCGAGCGTGCGAGGCTGGCGGCCTGGCCCCCTACTCCTCTGGTCTCCGCTGGGGCTGCCCCGGTGGGCTGGCGTTTTCAGCCCCGCCCTCGGCGGCCGCTTGGCGGGGCTGGGTTTCGCGGGGGGAAGGGGGTTGTGGAGAAATGAAATGAACTTGTGGCCTGAGCCGGGGCGGATCAGCCGCAGGGCTGCGGGGCGGTTGTGCGGGGATGGGGGACCGAGACGCGAAGGCAGGGGATGACTGGCCCCAAGAGCTCAGTGCCTGGGTTGATTTGCTCTTGTTCGGACTGCTACTGTGGGACCTGCGCCAGAAACCGTGTATCTTCTGGTGGAAAGCAGCGGTTCCCACCTCGGTGCGCAGAGAAGGATTTCATAAACGGGAGCGAATCGCGCGCGTTCTGGCCAGGCGCCGGGGCCCTTGCTCCTGGGTCTCTGGGGGACCCGGGTCCCCGTTCCCGGCCGCAGCTCCCCCTCCCGCGTCACGGTGGCGGCCCCGGACCTGAGCTGGGTGAGGGAGCGTGGGCCCCCGGGGCCTCGCAGGTCCCTTGGGGGCCTGTGTCTTTTGAGGGCGGCAAAGCAAGGAAGAGAGCTTAAGATCCCAACGCATTTTGTAAAACCAACATAGCCTGGCATCCTGATGCCAATAATAATGACTGAACAACCAAAAAACAAAATTATAGTCAGCTCTTCTGAGCGCGCTTTGGGCTCTGGAGCCGGCGAGGGAATTTATGGTACAGTATACAACTGTGATGCCTATCAGTGACTGTCGCAATCGCGGAGGTGGGGACTGATGGCAATCTTGACAGTTGTGTGAAGTGTTAGCTTCTCCCCGCGGCTCAGCGCCGGGTCCTTGTGTTATGTATATTAATCGTCGCCAGAAACCTGGGAGCAGGGGAAATAATTACTTTGACCCTCTGTAATGCCTCCTTCGTTGGAGAGGGAGGGAGCTGGAATAGGAGAAGGAAAAAAATTGGGTAATCAGACTCCGAATTACTCTCCAGAGCGGCGGGTTTAAAGAACCGCCGCGGCCATCGCCTGGTGAGCCGCCTTGAAGGCCGCTGCGGGGCCGCTGCGCGGAGCTGGTGACCGCGCCCGCCGAGTGTGTCCGCCCTCGGCGACTTGCTTGGATGTTTGGGTTGCAGACTGGCCGGACAAACAGCGTGCCCCTCGCCTTCCAGAGTCCCGTGAAGGGTTGTCCAATTCCTCTCGGGCTAATTGTTTTGAAATCTGTATTTACTTTTCGCGTCTGGCTGTTTGTTCGCAGCAGGCTCCTTGCGGGACCAAGGTGTAATTAAAGCATGTGAACCAATACATTCAAAGTTAGTGTGTCATCTAAGTGTCTGTCCTTAGCTTTCCAGAAGTACCAAGTGCAGTGTGATACCTGCTGAAGGGGCTGTCATGATGATGATTCTGCAACATTGGTTCTTAAGATTTGTCATTCTTCTGGTTCAACAACAGCCCTCAAGAAGTGGGCGGGATTATTTTGTTCCAAAACGTTCATGCCTCGATGGCATATGTTAATGTTTAATAATAAAGAGTTTGCTTTCTAAATGTTGGCTGGCTGGCTGGCTGGCTTCCATGGTGAATATCAAAGTGCATTTTGGTGGTAGTGGGCATTCCTATTGATCGCAGAGACAGAAACGGAAGCTTGCTAAGGGTACTGCGCACACTTACCTTTCTGTATCAATCTGTCAGGTGGAAGTGGTCTGGGGGGGTCTCATTAATTAAGGTTCTCTTCCGTGAAGAGCTAGAAAGTGTCTGGCGTGCCTGGTTGGCTCAGTCGGTTGAGCATCTGACTTGATTTCAGCTCAGGTCTTGATCTCAAGGTCCTGAGTTCAAGCTCAAGCTCAGCAGGCCATTGGGCTCCATGCTGGGTGTGGAGCCTACTTAAAAAGAGGGGGAAAGTGTCTCACTTCCTGATAGAACAATTTCTGAGTCCTTTCCCTGGGAGAGAAGGGTTTGGATGTTCTTAGGTGTGTGGGGATTGGAGAGTGGTTCAGGTAAATGTAAATGAGATCTTTGGATAATCCAGGAGCAAAGTCCACTGCAAAGTCAGACCCAGCTCAGAGCACCTTTCTGGAATGCTTAGATCACTTAATGCAGGGCCAGCGGTGGAAGGGGAGTTGGAGACATGGACCAGAAGTTTTCAAACTACTCTCCCCGCCAAACCCACCCCCCCATCCTCACCAGCTGGACTTAGTTGTTCCTCTGCTAAAATAAAATCAAAGCCCACCTTTTCCCAATTCTGATGGGAAAACTATTGCTAGGCAGTTTTTCTCAATGTAGGTGTATTTTCTATAAATATTCCTTTATCATTTGATTTCTCTGTCCACTGCATTACCAGAAATCAGCAGAATGCAGGGATGATAAGGAGTTGGTTTAACACCTTCTAGGTTCAGGCATTTCTTATTTAATTCATTACAGCTTTCACGAAGTTCAAAAAGAATGCTGTGGTTTCAGGGGTTTTTTCCGTGTTGCTGATGGGGAGCTTAACAATCATTTTATAACGGCTCATGGAAATCATCTAGTTTGAGGCCCAGAGAGGTTCAGTGACTTTTCTAGTCGCAAGGAAAGTTAGTGCTGGTAAGAATTAGAAGAACCCTGGTTCATTGCTTTCAATTAATTACGTATTTTCCAATTGTTGACAAAATAGTGTCCCCAGCCCTGAAATGCCTCTAAACAGTGAAAATGATTTCCAAAGGATTACAGTGCCCTCTCCCCCACCCCTGCCAAATCACTGAACCTTGTAGAAAGGAGATTTGCTCTTCTAGATAATTATAAAAGACTTCAAGCTGCAGGAGCAGTGGCTCTGTTTGCTTTTTGCAAAATGGGAAGCAGAGTTGGCGCGGGTTCCATTGTCTATAAACTTCGGGAAGTTTGAATTCCATTGTTTTAGTGCTCTCCCTTTATTTCACTCAGAAAAAAAATTTACGTATCTGTGGACCTCATTAAAAAAAACCAATGCAAGGACTGTTGCACAGCAGAGCAGATTGTGAAGTAGAGAGCCCCATGTCAGCAGAGACATTCAAGCAGCTGCTAGATTGATTCCTGTCCTGAGTTGGCATTTTCTCTAAGAGAACTGTGAGACTCAAACTGTTTAATTCACTTAGAATGTAAATCAGTCAGTGTGTATGTGTGTATGTGTTTGCATATGTGTGCGTAGGGTGATCCTCAACTCTCTCTAGGAATTTATGGTATAAAATGTTTACAGATAGAAGGAACCAATTAGATTAACTCTCAGTGCTCCAGGATTCCAGCCCCATACATTTGAAAACACCTGCTGTCATGTCTTATCTCAAGATTTAGGCATTTCTCCTTTTCAAGAAATCTATCCAGTAGCATTTGCTTTTTAGGTATTTTCCCGTTTTGTTTCATACCAACATGACTTTTCATTTTAACCTAATGAAGCTTCCCTTTTGCTTCTAGTACTGCCCATCACTGATAGTTCATCACTGATAGTTCACCTGGTAGGGTTTTTGCCAATGGTGTCAAGTTAGCGATGTTTCCTCACGGAGCCCCCAGTCCCATGATGTCTGTTTTCATGATGAAAACCAGCTCTGCTGTTCACACCCTGATATAAATCAGTAAGACAACAAATGTGTGTTGAATACTTGCTCCTACTCTGGATAAAATGCTAAAGAAGAGACTAAGAAATAGGAGATACGGCGCTTTCAGTTGCTTAGTTTGATTGGTGGGGGGAGGAGCACACATAAGGAAGCTTACCTAAATACATAGATAGTAGCAGCTTACATGTAGCTTTTTGTTGGAATCAAATCTTTTGAAGCTAAAGATGAGAAGCTCTTAGTAGCACTTCAGGCTGTAACAGTTATTGAAAAATACTGTGTGGGTTGGTGGGTGGGAGAGTTGATCCATAGTTTTCCCTGGAATCATACAGGGCAGATGCTGACCACCAGCATGGAGACTGACTCTGGTAGGGTCAAATGGGGGTAGTCAGGGTTGGGGGTAATGAGAGTAAAGAAAAGGCAGAGGGTTCAGGAGTGTTCCCTCTTGTGTACTTCCATATTATGGACAGAAAGGCCCCGAAGATGAAT